GAATGCATCACGCACCTTGGGCTCACACTGCGCCCTCATGGACAAGGCAGAAGAGCCCTCCTCACCCCACAGCCTGGTTCCACCCCATGGCCCCCTGCTATTTTAAGGGTCCTGTTTCACTGGTCCCCAGCAACAGGGGCATCCTAACTGCCTCCCCAGTGGAGGGCCGAAGTCCCCCCTTCACTATCCTGCTTAGGGCAGCCTGAGCGAGTGGTGACCATCTGGCCCCTGTATCGGCAAATTTTCCCCAGAGACAGCTTCCCCATGGAGCCTGGTTAGTTCCACTGGGATCAGCACCTGATACAAGGACTGGCAGTGACTACACTGGGCACTGGCTCGGCCCCCGAGGGTCTGAATGGTTTGGCAGAGATCAAACTCAGGGCAAGAGGGGACAGACTAGGCCCATTCATTGCTGAGGGAGATGGGAACCACCCTCATCCACTCCCTAACCCCCTGCTGCATAGCAGACAGGAGGGATCATGCCTCCTCCCCAGAGCAGGAAGGACTTGGGACTCACATGAGGGAAAAGCGGGAAGTGGAGGTTCTTCCTCAGCTGCCTCACAGCCCCTCCACACCAGTCCTCGAAGACGTGCAGGTTTGCCTTCCCTTTGTACTGCAGAATGACAACCCCACATGGGGACATGAGCACATTCCCTGCCCCAAAAGCCAGAAACCCCCTGAGCACTCAACAGCACCAGTGAAAGATCATACCCAACGTCCAAAGAATTTGCTGGATTAGACCCCAGTGAACCAGCTGAGCTTACACTTGTTGCGGTGAAGAGATCCCTAGTCACAGATGTGCTAGTGGCTGAAATGGGAGTAAATTACCAAACTGGACAAGGCTGTAGAAGCCTTCTCTACCATCTGCACCCAGACAGAGCAAATCCCTGGGTAACAGGAAGCCAAAAGAAAGCCACGGACCTAGCATGGTATCCATGCAGGCTGAGCTCAAGTTTCAGTGACAAGGGTCTTCCACTGAGACCAAACAGCCCCCTCACCCATACATACATCATTGCAGAGACCTGGTACTAGAGGTTCACTGACTGGTTCAGCAATGACCCAGATTTCTTGCCTCTCCTGACAATCCTCCCAGCTCCACAGCAAGGCAAGGAAGTACCAGTTATTAGTTCGCTCGGCAGCCACCATCTTAGCCAACACCCCAGGACTGAAACTACAGAGAAGAAAGCAGCTACTGCTTACAACTTGTGGTAAAGGGCTAAAGCCCTGGCTACAGGGTTGTAACACAATCATATTCACCATGACTGAGCACAGAGGGGGGCCTATTACACACTTCACATCTTTTTAAACTGCCAGACCCAGCCTGAGTGGAGGAGAGAGTGCAGCCCCCAGACTCATGTCAGAGTCCGTTGCCACACGAGCTAGGATGGCTGCAGACAGACACGTGCTGGAGAATGGGCAGGCCAGGACCTTCCTGCATGTGGGCATGCTCAGGGAAGGGAGAACCTCCAGGGAAATTCCTGGAGAGCCCAGTGTAGTGATTCCCTTTCAAAAAGCTCTGAGCCTAGTCCAGCCACTTGACCAGCCCAGGGTGGATGGCCATGAGGAGATCCAGAACTGAGGCTACACGAGGTGATCTAAGCCACTCACCAGAAGACCACCCAAAGGATGAGCAAGAGGGGCCCTTGAGCAGTGACTGACACTGAGATGACCATTGGGTCTCCTTTTTGCTTCAAAGGGGAATCTGAGTGGCTGTATGGAGTGGCTGTATGGAGGAAGTTCCCAGGACAATGGACAAATACTCATACCTGGTCCCAGAGCAAAGCCCACCAGGCAATGATGTGGCCTGGCTCTCACTCTTTTGGATCACTCTGTGATCTAATCACAGCAGTCACCCAGAGGAGGCCTGGGGAGCAGTGCCCAGTACCCTTGCCCCTCCTCCCTAATCCCACTCTGCTAATCAGCACTTCTCAGCCACAGCCTAGGACCCACAGGGACTTCCACTGTCACAGAAGCAGAGGAGCTGCAGCTGGAATAATGTATGAACTCATTATGCAGGTAGGTGCTGGGGCACAGGTGGCTGATTATCTGGGTGACAGCACTGAGCTCTGACCCAAACTGTGTTTTGACTACAGCTCTGCTGGGGGGCACCATGCATGGGGCCAGCGCCAGGGATCTTGATGGTTTACATCCTCTAGCAAGATGCGATGTATGAAACTCTGTGGCTTCTGTTCTCTCTTGGCTGTGGGGCTGATGCTGTCACACCTCCAGGCCTAGGGCTGGCCTAGAGGGAGGCATGAGCCCTGGACAATAGCACTGTAGAGCTGCAGCCAACTGGGCAGATGCACCCAAGCCTCTGCAATAGTTCTTATTACTGCAGGGTTGTCCATGTATCAGTGGGGAAAAGAAGCTACTCTCTTTTGCAGTCGTTCTCCCAGAACCTCTTCCTTCTTCCCTGGCTCTGCCTCCTCCACTCCCCCAAAACAGAACTTCCCTGCCCCTGCTTACCTGGTCGTTCCAGGGCAGAACTTGCTTGGTCATGTTCAGGACAGGGGCCCTTCCAGCTCGGCCTGGCCCTTGGCCTCGTGAAAACCAGCTGTCACCATCCTGCCCTTCGTTCTGTTGAGGGAACAGGAGACAATGAGAAAGGAGCCACCCACGGAGGGGGTCAGTGGAGAAGGGGGATGCAAACCTCCCATCCCAGAATGCTTTGCAGTGAAGAAGCCAAAGTCTCTGCTGCTGGTGCCAATGCAAGTGGCCTCTGACATCAGAGAAGCCACCCAATTTTGAGCAGCAGAGGTTTGAGCCCAGCAAATGATGTTAGCTACCTGGGAAGTGAAGCCCACTCTGAGGAGCCAACACTGCAAAATTTGTGTGCTGCGATGCTGTGCAGCAGCTTAGGACAGGATTCTGTATCCCATGGAAGCCAGGGGGAAATTTTAGGCTGGGTTATAGGAATAGCCTCAACAGGGGACCTGGTAGGACCAATCCCTTTGCAAGAAGCAGCGTGGGCTCTAACCATCTTACTTTGTTTGCTCTAGCCCTGGAATTGCCAGCCAGGGCTAGTCTGATCACTAATGTGATAGGGCAGCAAACTCTGAGTGCATGCCATAGACTCCAAGGCCTTTCTGGTCCATCCTCCCAGTACCCAGCACCCTTTTAATAGCAACACTCCCTGCTGACTGCCATCATCATTTATTTGCATTGCAGTAGCTCCTCAAGGCCCAGATCAGGGATTAATGCTCATTGTGCAAGCTGCTGCATACACCTAATACATTCCCTGCTTCTTTACAGACCCCGGCCTGGGGAATCCAGCAGGGCACAGTGGGAAACATCCCCAGTGACCAGGGGGTGGAGTGGACAGACTGTTTCAGCTGGCTTAGAGTTTGAGTGCTAGATGAGAGAGAACAGGTGAGTGCAGACAGGCGGGGAAGGGAGATGGCAGGATGCATGGGGATGTGCTTAGATGCT